ATGAACCACCAATTTTAAAGAATCCCAAACTGAGGCCCCCGCCACCGACAAAGTTCGAGGAATAATCGCTTGTATGTAGATTGAACGTATCAAACAGTTCTGAATCTAATTGAATTTTATCTTCTAGTATAGGGATGATTTGTATACATGATTGAAACGCCGCAGAGTCGTTAAAGTTCGATACGGCAAAAATGGGACTCATATCCATAAACCGTAGATGATCCCAACCGAAGCCTGGATAAATGTCTACTTTCAAGGGTTTCTCATCACCTGCTTGACATCGAGACGAAAGAAACAATATTACACAGCAATAAAACAACTTCATTGTTTTTTTTTCGAATGTTTAAAAACTGTCTGAATGAAGGCTTTATCGAATCTCTTTAAATAGAACAAACGACAACGCTATTATCACTTTAAAGAGGGAAAGAGACTGACACTTATGCGTTGTAGATAAAATAGCCAGATAGATGATACAACACGAAAGACAACCAAAGTAAACGTCAGATAAGACGATCTTACCGAGCGATATTTTGATAACAAAGATGCTTCAGTTCCGAGAACTTTACACACTCCAAAAAGCACCACGACAGCGAGCGTACGAAAGTCTTCGGGAATATACATGTGAACATTTTCTCTTAGTTTTGTTCTCACCCTCCTTCTAGAGTGATTGTTTGAGCGCACAAATAGACTAACACTTAACTGCTATTCTTCAGAGGATCAGATGAAGGTACTTGGGTGAAAGTCATTCCAATGAGCATTTTTCGATTTATCAATCCCTACAATATGCATATCATCATCAGTACCCCCGTAGTGGTTGCTTAGAATTATCAAAAGACTATAGAAAAGTTGTCATCGTTGAGAAGAGTCATCGTAAAGCACTTGGGTGAACCTCACTCATATGCAAATTGTATAAAGTAGAACGTGTGTCTGTCGTTCGCTATGCATTCAGTTTCTGCTATCGGGTGAGGGTGAGGGCGAGGCTGAGTAGGCACAGCATCTTGAGGGTGTGAGCAAAAGCTCGGTGCGTGGACAAAAGCCTATTACGGCTTTAACTGCAAGAAGCGATGCTTTGACGAGGATTTTGCACGCTTATCAACTCTAGCTCAGCATCCTAGGCGTAAAGCACCCAATTACATTCTCTTCTAGTTTCTGATAGCTCTTACTGTCACTGATAACATTACGTGCTTCCATTAGACAGTCGTCTTGAACATCAACTGCTTCAAAGGCTATTCGTCGATATCCAACTCGTTACGCACTGGGTATCGATCAAATTCACTCAAATTTCTCCGGATTCTGGATATACTGTTGTCAATTTTTAAACGGATACTCGGGGTAATGATATTATGACATTACTCATAAATGCACTGTGGGAGTCAGCCCGTCTGTTCGTTCATTCAGTCGTTTACACGATATTTTCTGAAAAGCGAATCCATCTGTGGTGACACTTTCTACCGAATGTTTTCACATCAATATCTCGCACGAGTTTGAAGGTAAACCTGATTAAACCAACTGTTCGTATGCTTTAGAAAAATACTGGTACGCTTACTAACGTTTTTTTACCTGTATTATTCAAGAGAAAACCGCAAGACCTAAGGAATAAAGTACTTTACTGCATTGAAGATACTCTCTAAAGTAAATGTACTCTCACATTTTCCCTTCATTCTAGTTAATAGAGTTTTTACGATGCATACAGCTTGTATACAAAAACAATTACGTATGACTGATTTGTAGTGCGATTTTCCGCCGCTGAAATTAAGTTATTATAAATATAAACACAAAGAGTCAACACTGATGCGCGGCATTCCATTCTAGGAGGTCAACTGCTGCGACATTGTAGTTGGATCACAATCTACAAAACAACATAGAATGCCAATCTGAACTGATTCAGATTAAATCAAGAGGAAAGCAACTTTTCGACATGACATGGTTTTCAGTGTATGCTGATAGATCTTATCAATTAAAAAGAAGCTGGAAGTAGATCGACTGAGGAATCACGAATTCTTAGTAGAGAATCAGATTTATGATGAGATTACGAAACTAGACAGCCAAAGATATGTTACTTCGTTTATGTTCAACGATGATTTTGAGCGCATAATGCATAAATGAGAGAAAAATCAAAACCAAGTTGGTTTTATGCTCAAATCTGGATTCAGAAATTCGAATACTTGTATTCGATGATTACCGCAATCAGTAACCCAGAGATTTTTTTGTTGATCGAATGCTAAGCCGAGAATTTGATCTAATTGATCTGCTCGATCGCCTTTCCCATTTCCTCCGACAACAACATGGCCCTTTTGCGATCCATTTGGCCAACACACAACTCGATAATTGTCTCGATCAGCTACATAAACATTACGTAAACGATCAACTACAATGCCGTGCGGCCTGTTCAGTTGCTCCTCGGTATTTCCTCGTCCATTCCCACCGGCAACAATCATTCCTTCAGTTGCATCTTTCTCCCATTTCATTACACGATCATTTTTCGAATCGGAGACATACACGGACAAGTCTTCATCAACAAATATATAACTAGGATAATTAAGTTGATTCAAAGCACATCCCATTCCATGACCACCAGCCACAACCACTCCAACCGCATCGCCTCGTTTCCATCGCTTCACTTCATGATTAACTGTATCTGATGCGTATAGATTTCCATGAATATCCATGGTTAAGCCTATACCACTTATATTTGATACAATCGTTTTCATTAAACTATTCTGACGATCCCATCGTACGATTCGACTATGTCCTCGATCATAAATAATAAGTGAATCACTTCGTTCGTCAACAATGACTGACGATGGGGACACTAATAAATTCACTCTACTTCTATTTTCCCGAGCAGCAACTGACGCTGCACATATTAATGAATCGACTTCGTCTTCATTCTCATTCCCACCAGCAATGATATATCCAGTACTTTCACCGTATTTCCATTGAACAATACGATCACCTAATGTATCAGAGATATACATCGTTTGATCGCTGGGATTGAAGTAAACATCAAAAGGACGATTAAGCTGATTCAACTGTTTTCCATCTCCATTTCCTCCAGCAATAGTTAAACCATTTTGTTTCCATTTTGCACTGAGTGGAATTGCTTTTGTTGAGAATAATCGTTCTAAAATATTTCAAAAAGTCTCATTTTCGAAAACGACCTCGGAACAGATTTACCGTATGGTAGAGTAAGTGATATATGGTCAACGAACAATCGTGAATGCCGCTGAATGGTAGGAATCGATGGAGTTCGAAGTTGCTCTCGTAATATTCCCAGCTGTTCGCTTAGTTTTCGTAGATGTTGTTCGTGAAAATTCCGAGTTTCTCGAAACGACTCCAATTGAGAAGTTATTTCAGTGAAATTCGACTTTATTTCGGTGAAAACTTCTTCTCGGTATCGGTTTAAACTCTGTCTACAATAGTTTGCACATTCTTGAATAAGTCTGATTGATTCGCCTTCCCATTGGCCAATCAATTGCATCGCACGATCTTCTTCTTCTCTATTTTTGGTAGATTCATAGAATTTTTCTTCAAAGTCATCACAATCTGATTTGATCGGATCCAATTGGACGTCTAGTTCTTCTCGATGCCTCAAAAAATGATTTAAACAAAAGATTTCCGAACACCCGAGACATTTACTCGTCGATGCATTGTTGCATTTGCTACAATAAACTTCAGACAGCATTGAAAATGTCTATGAATACTAAAATGATATACGAAGTGATGCAATCTCATTGAATTATTTATGTCTTTCTCATTCATCTTTCGTTCTTTAATCAATCACAAGCGCATTGACGTATTGAAAAGAAAAATGATAAAAAGATATAGCATACTCTTAGATAAACTGTGCTCGTCGGAGAAGAAATACGCAGGTGAATAAGCAACTGGCGAAAAAATACCGACAGCTAATGTCACTATTCGTCATAAAATAGAAATTACGCACAACATGGCTCTTATCTTGTCACGAAATCGATTAAGCAAGACAGATACTTGCTTTATGAACTTATTAGCGCTGTTTGAATGTGTGGAATTAATTTAATGAGACAGAAGCAGATAGCTTTATTTATTAAAAGAAAACTTAGATTAACAAGTGATCACCTTAAGTAGTTCTGTTACAACCAAAGCATATCATCGATAGCATCCACCTCTGGATCTATCGCACCAAGTAATGCTTTCGCTATATAATCACCTTTGGAAAATGGATACGCCGGACCGTTCTTCCTCCATACTCTCTCCCTTTCGGTGAAAAAGTCATCAGTCACATCAACATTAGTCATTCTTTCATCACATTCAACCAAATATTCGACACATGCAGGATCGTCTGTACATACCAGAAACATAACATGCGTTGTCTCAGCAATGCGCACCTGAATCATCACTTCTTCCAGTTTATCAATATTAACGTTACCCTTTGCATCAGTCGGCGTTCCGTCAGTTGCAACGAACACGAGGACCTTCTTGTCTTTTCCACGCTGAGCTTCTGGCGATGAAAAGATTCGTGTGAGAACTGGAACTAAGGGTGTGTATCCACGAGGTGGTATAGAAAACTGTTCATCAATGACTGTTGGATCAGTCACACGGAGTATTGGTGGGCGATTGAGAAAATGGATATCGACACCATTTGAGTCGAAAATCACGCCGATTTCCAGGATGATTTTAACGATTTCGCGAAGTTCATCCCATCGGGTTTTGTTCGTTCGATCGACAGGTGTTTTCATTGAACCCGAATCATCACAGACGATAATGATTTTGTAATGTTCGAGTAGAGGGAGTTTCTGGCTGAATTGTTCTCTAATTTCATACTTATCGGCAATATGACGAAGAGCAACGTCGACTAAAAGAAGATTTATGTGAAATAAATTCAAAGGCGGAAAAGATCATACATCGTCGTTCAGGTTGATACTGATTACTCTCAGGCGGAGAATTATAAGAATTTACAAGATCAGGTGGTACTATTTATTGATAGAAACAAGAGAAATTCAATAAAACTTTGAGGAAATATGATTTACTTGCTTCCCTGGTAGGTGGTTCAACTATCTCTACTGGCAAATCACTGTTATCCAGTCGTTCAAAGGGGCTCCAACGACCGGATGATTGATGAGAATGTTTTATTTCTTTATACATTTATTTTCGTTCGCGTTATGAAGTGATACGAAATATTTTGAAATGATGAGACGAAAGATTAAACCTACCTTGAAAAAATTTTCCTCTTTTTCGTTCGGTATTTCTTTTCTCTCATATGAATTATCGATTCGCCATACCATTTTCTCCACGTGCATCGACATGAAATTAATAAGCAATTATACGGCGTACTAGAGCACAACATAATCGAGAGGTGCAGAAGTTATAATTCGAGTATTTGTATGAGAATATCGAGTGATAGAATGAAAAGAAACCCAAAACGAAAAATATTCACAGTGAGATATGACCAGTAGTTCATATAAATCTAGAAATTTATTTACAGTTTTATTATTTCAAGCAACAACGGTCATTATCACAAATATGGCTATAGTATACAAAAAAATCGTACATTACCGTTTGATGGAGTACAACTAAGGATTGTCATCGATAGCATCAATCTCTGGATCTATCGCACCAAGTAACGTTTTCGCTATATAATCACCTTTGGAAAATGGATACGCCGGACCGTTCTTCCTCCATACTCTCTCCCTTTCGGTGAAAAAGTCATCAGTCACATCAACGTTATCCAGTCTTTCGTCAAAATCAACTAAATATGCGACACATGCAGGATCGTCTGTACATATCAGAAACATCACATGCGTTGCTTCAGCATTGCGTACTCGAGTCAGCACGTCGTCCAGTTCATCAATCTTGACATTACCTTTGTTATCCGTGGGCGTTCCGTCAGTCGCAACGAACACGAGGACCTTCTTGTCTCTTCCACGCTGAGCTTCTGGCGATGAAAAGATTCGTGTGAGAACTGGAACTAAGGGTGTGTATCCACGAGGTGGTATAGAAAACTGTTCATCAATGACTGTTGGATCAGTCACACGGAGTATTGGTGGACGATTGAGGAAATGAATATCAACACCATTTGAGTCAAAAATCACGCCGATTTCCAGGATGATTTTAACGATTTCGCGAAGCTCATCCCATCGGGTTTTGTTCGTTCGATCGACAGGTGTTTTCATTGAACCCGAATCATCACAGACGATAATGATTTTGTAATGTTCGAGTAGAGGAAGTTTCTGGCTGAATTGTTCTCTGATTTCATACTTATCGACAATATGACGAAGAGCAACGTCGACTAAAAGAAGATTTATGTGAAATAAATTCAAAGGAGGAAAAGATCATACATCGTCGTTCTGGTTGATACGGATTACTCTCAGGCGGAGAATTATAAGAATTTACAAGATCATGTCGTATTATTTCTTGATACAAACAAGAGAAATTCAATAGAACTTCAAGAAAATGTATCTACCTGGTTGTTGTCGACCTTCTCTTGGGGAAGATGGAATTTCTAGTTCTTCAATTGATTGAGGAATATTGTCATCGAACCCGTTCACATTATTGAATATATCGATGGTGGTTCTCGGGTTATTTATTTCTGAAGACTGCATATATGCCGAAGAGGAATCTATTTGTATTCGCCTATGCGTTACTTTCTCAATGCAGTACTTAAGACACACTCATATAATTTATAAGGGAGAAACTTCGTTGATCACTTCCTTTTTTTAATTCTAGAAGTCCACTAATGTTATTTTTATTGCTGTCTATATCATCAATGAATGGTGTAGCAAACACTGAAATAAATTGTCAACATTGCTCTTGTCATTAACAATCAATTGAATAGACATTTTCCTTTGATTGCATCTAATTAAAAAACGTTCAAAAGTGTGCTCCAAAGAGAAATAATGAGAAAAAATTTGCTTTCAAACTGACGTCAACCAGTTGTTTGTGGCAAAATGTTTCGTTAAAATTGAATTTGATACTGATGTACGTGGAACAATTTCTTCTCTATATGGATGTTAATTAATTACGTCATAGAAATATTCATACCGAAAACAAATCATAAATATGGTTAGTTAACTTCACAAGAATACAAACTCGAAGTTGAAATTGAATATGCCGAAGATGTTAGTCAACTCACATTGACCGAGTGCTTGACATCAATTGAAAAAGGATTTCTTTCTTTTCGTAGAGCAATGGAATTACGTGTTGGCGGGAAGTATCGCGTCGGACGAAAGATAGGCTCGGGATCATTCGGGGATATCTATCTCGGCACAAATATCAATTCGGATGAAGAAGTCGCGATTAAACTTGAATATGTTCGTACCAAACACCCGCAATTGCATATTGAATCAAAAATCTATCGTATAATGCAAAATGGAGTAGGAGTGCCATCGGTAAAATGGTTTGGAGTCGAAGGAGATTTCAATGTTCTGATTATGGATCTACTCGGACCGTCATTAGAAGATCTATTCGTGTTCTGTCAAAGAAAATTCTCCTTAAAAACTGTTCTCATGTTAGCTGAACAAATGGTTTGTAAAACATTTCATCATCATATTCGGTTTTATTCTCTCGAATTGTTTAGATCAACCGAGTGGATTTTATACATTCAAAAAATTTCATCCATCGAGATTTAAAACCCGGTAAAACTTCATCCGATCACTTTGTTTGCATAGATGACATGTTTTTTGTAGATAATTTCTTGATGGGTCTCGGTCGAAAAACGAATTATGTGTATATCATCGACTTCGGTTTAGCAAAGAGATACCGAGATACTCGTACACATCAACATATTCCTTATCGAGAAGATAAGAACTTAACAGGAACTGCACGTTATGCTTCAATCAATACACATCTTGGTATCGAACAAAGTCGTCGTGATGATCTGGAATCGCTCGGTTATGTGTGGATGTATTTCAATCGCGGTAGCCTTCCGGTATGAATTGACGAATTGAGAATGTTAGTTTGACAGTTCGATTGATATTCTAGTGGCAAGGTTTGAAATCTGTCAGTAAACGTCAAAAATATGAACGAATCAGTGAGAAAAAGATGTCTACATCAGTTGCCGAATTATGTAAAGGTTTTCCCGGTAATAACGACTTTTCTGTTTTGCTAATCAAATCTCATTGATTCTTTTCTTCTCAGCGGAGTTCTCGTCGTATCTTACCTACTGTCGTTCATTACGTTTTGATGATAAACCTGACTACTCGTATGTATTCGGTTTTGCTTTGTGATACTCAAATTTGATTGAATTTTTAGACATCTACGAGAATTATTTCGTAATTTATTCCATCGACATGGCTACACTTACGATTATCTCTTCGATTGGACCATGCTCAAACCTCGTTAGATTTCCTATCGATCTTTTCATATCACATCTTTTGCTTTCTTCTTTTGTTCTTCTCTTTCATTTCGTTCTGATATCATCTGTATATAATTGTTTATATGTTAGGTTCATTTTGTCAGTCGGATAAAAGAAAGTTCGGGTTCGCACACGAACTTTCAGTTGGGACAGGTGGCAGTTTCAATCGAAACTGTGGTAATGAAGATTCGACAAAGAAACTTGATCAATACTCGTCATATTTGGTGCACAACAACAGATAAATCGAAACGACCTAGGTGAATTTACAAAATGCAAGAACGAAATTTGCCTATTTTTCTCTCTCTCTCTCTCCCTCTCTCTCGCTCCACATGTTTGGTTTTCTCTTTGCTAAAATAAACGTTAACGATTGAAATTGATCTAATTATAAAACAGTGCATTCGCCTACTGACACTAATGAATATTTTCGGTTTGATTGCCCTCGCGATGGTATCAGATGAGACTCGAAAACAAAATGAAAATTTGTCTGCTGTACTTACACCTAATGGGGCATATAATTAAGTGAACAGAAATATTGAGTGACACAGTGCATAGGTAAAAATCAGATGTCGCTTATTAATTTAGAAGCGAAGTGAACGATTGAATCATAACTATATGAATGAAGTATGATGATGTTTTCGAAACGTGATCTTTTGAATTTTCTTTGTATACAGGTAGAGTTGAATACCGTGAATGCGAGGTTGACGAAAACCGTTGCGAATAAACCAATTGCAAGAAATTGGTGTGTAAAATAATACTATCTGTTTGAAAATGAGAAAATCTCACGCAATTGGTTTGTTAATTTGATTTTATCATAAATCTCATCGTACATCTCGTTTTCTCTCTTTAGTAAAATTCTTTGCTGTTGATTGTCGAGTCGTGTTGTTGTCGGTAACTCCAAGGCACTGATAGTATCAGTGTCTTTCTCGGAATTGAAAAGTTCTCCTTTACGAACCAAACAACCTACTCGACGGGTCCAGTATCATCTCCATACTCAGTTACTATCGACTATTTCAACAACGGCCGAAAGCTTGATATTATATTGTTGTCAATTATAACGACAACAACTTTGGCGTACTTGTGGGTCATGACAATGGAACTTTTGATAATGTTATGCTTTAAGTATTAGAGTATGATTTTCACCTGTTTTTTATTGCTTTGGCCGACTCCAACAACGACGGTAAAATGGACTTTGCTATTGAACATAAGGGAACTGATAGTTTAAATATTTATTTACAAACATGTTGACTGCATTTATATTTTAACGAAAGATTTCGGTTTCTTTTTGTTTTCTATGCATTGTTGTACTTGAATGTATAGATATATCGCCATTCTAACTAGCTGCTTCTTCTGCTCAACTAAAAGGTTTTTACTATCCTCGATGTCAGTCCGAAAACAGGATTGACAATTGGCAAATTCAGAGATAGTACTAAAAATCCTTTTCTAAATCATTTAAACATATGCAAAAACGCCCTCTACGTTGTAATCGACGATTGATTCGAGTTCGAACGAACAGAATCAGAAACAGTATTGATCAGTTCTTGAAGTTCGAAAGAATCCGTTGAAAGAACTTACGAAACTGATCGCAGGAAGACACGCTTGACAATAATATCGTTTTTCCGAAAAGTCTCTTTCCAGACAAATATCACAAAAAATGCCGATATTCTTATAAAGTCAATGCACGTCTGACGGACCAGAGATAGGAACCAATGAATGATCCGCTGGATGAATTTTATAACAACCACTTTGCACACAGTGACGAGAGAAAATCTAATTTTCACAGTTCTTACATTTATAGTGCAATTCGCCATCTCTGTTGACAATGTCAACTAACTATACCCATTTTTATACATATTCAATGTTTACCGAGAAAAAAACCAACAATGTGATTGAAGTCAATTAGGTATAACATCACGTCCGTTCCTATTACATATGCTATTGTTGCATAACAATAAATAAATTAATTAAAGTACAAACTTGGTCAAAAGGTTTCCAGGAAACATCCTGAAAAGTCGTCTATTGCATGGCGTGCTTCAACAATATCTACTCAACAAGGATTTATTTTTGTTTTCTCCATAAGAACAAGACAATGAAGAAAAGAATAATGAGATTTATTTATTCAGAACTTGTCTCAGTTCCGAACCATATTCACTGTTAGTCAAAGATTCACATAATCTAATAAATTGTTCCCTATCGATATACTTCATCATAAAAGCAACTAATTCAATCGAGCCGATCGGGATGCATCTTTGATTTTCAATTGAACGAATGCAATTCGACGCATCATTCAACGATTGAAATGTTCCCATATCAAACCAAACCGTGTCTTTATTTAACAAATGAACGCGAAGTTTATTCTTCTCCAAATAAACCCGATTGACATCAGTGATTTCATATTCACCTCGATGTGAAGGTCGCAGACTTTTCGCGATTTGAACAACATCGTTATCATAAAAATACAAACCTGTAATCGCATAATTCGATTTCGGTTTCGACGGTTTTTCTTCGATTGAAACCGGTCGATGATCGTCATTAAGTTCAACAATTCCATAACGATGTGGATCGGACACTTCATAAGCAAAAATCTGCGCTCCATCGACATTCGTTAACGTTCGTAATTGATGCAAAAGATCTTCGTGATAAAATAAATTATCACCGAGAATCAATGCAACATTTTCATTGCCTAAAAAGTCTTCTACGAGAACGAATGCTTGTGCAATTCCATTTGGTTCATTTTGAATCTGATACTTCAAACGACAACCAAATTGATTTCCATCTTTTAATAAGTTTCGATATAATTCATAATCTTCTTCTTTGATTATAATCATTATGTCTCGAATTCCAATCGCCATAAGNTCAAGGATAACATCCACTAATATATGATTGAATTCGTTTCGAAGAGTCACTGTTTTTTCCTTTCCCTGACGCATCTTGACTTGTTTGTATTCTTGCGAATATGAACCACCAATTTTAAAGAATCCCAAACTGAGGCCCCCGCCACCGACAAAGTTCGAGGAATAATCGCTTGTATGTAGATTGAACGTATCAAACAGTTCTGAATCTAATTGAATTTTATCCTCTAGTATAGGGATGATTTGTATACATGATTGAAACGCCGCAGAGTTGTTAAAAGTTTGATACGGCAAATATAGGACTCATATCCATAAACCGTAGATGATCCCAACCGAAGCCTGGATAAATGTCTACTTTCAAAGGTTTCTCATCTCCTTGACATCGAGACGAAAGAAACAATATTACACAGCAATAAAATAGCTTCATTGCTTTTTTTCAAATGGTTAAAAACTGTCTGAATGAAGGCTTTATCGAATCTCTTTAAATAGAACAAACGAGAACGCTATTATCATTTTAAAGAGAGAAAGAGACAGACACTTACGTGTCGCAGATAAAATAGTCAGATAGATGATACAACACGAAAGACAAGCAAAGTAAACATCAGATAAGACGATCTTACCGAGCGATATTTTGGTAACAAAGATACTTCAGTTCCGAGAATTTTACACACTCCAAAAACCACCACGGCAGCGAGCGTACGAAAGTCTTCGGGAATATACATGTGAACATTTTCTCTTAATCTTGTCCTCGCCCTCCTTCTAGAGTGATTGTTTGAGCGCACAAATAGACTAACACTCAACTGCCATTCTTCAAAGGATCAGATAAAGGTATTTGGGTGAAAGTCATCCCATTGAGCTTTTTTCGATTTATCAATCCCTACAATATGTATATCATCACCAGTACGCCCGTAGTGATTGCTTAGAATTACCAAAAGACCATAGAAAAGTTGTCATCATTGAGAAGGGTCATTGTGAAGCACTTGGGTGAACCTCACCCAGATACAAGTTGTATAAAGTAGAACGTGTGTCTGTCTGTTCGCTATGTATTCAGTTTCTGCTATCGCTTAGATTACCAAACTTTCGACTTTGGTTGCTCAGACATAGAGAAAGGCCAGGAAGAGAACCTGGGTGATTTTTATTTAGGCGACTTTTTGTTATAATCGTTAATCTATACTGTATCTTTGATCATCAAACTTGGCATGGTGATTATCTAGATGTACAGATATAGATCAAGATGAGGGAGAGATCTAGAAAATAAATACCAATAGGAAGACCAAAGTGAATTTGGCTTACGTCATCGTTCTATATTGGGTAATGTTATCAAAGTAATTCTAAATGTCCTCCTGTATCGTGCAAAGTGTGGAAGTCTAATTTAAAAAAAAAGTACAACTATTTTTTTATTTCAAGGTTTAATCGAAGATAGTTCACATATCAACAACAGATCTGAAATCTCTTGCTTTCTTTAGTATGCTCGAAAGATGAATGCGCTGTTAGAGTCAGTCCGTCTATCTGTTCATTCAGTCGTTTACATGATACTTTCTGAAGAGCTAATCCATCTGTAGTGACATTTTCTACCGAATATTGTCGCAACAATATCTCGCACGAGTTCGAAGATAAATCTGATCAAACGAACTCTTTGCATACTCTAGAAAAATACTTATATGCTTCCTGACGTTTCTTTACTTCTAGTATCAAGCATAAAACCACAAGGCCTCAGAAATAAAGTACGTACTTCACTGCATTTCAAATACTGTCAGAAGCAAATGTATACTCTCACCTTTTCCCTTCATTCTAATTAATAGAGTTTTTACGATGCATATAGCTTGTATACAAAAACAATTACATATGACTGATTTGTAGTGCAATTTTCCGCCGTTGAAATTATGTTATTGTAAATATAAACACAAAGAGTCAACACTGATGCGCGGCATTCCATTCCAGGAGGTCGACTGCTGCGACATTGTATTTGGATCACTATCTACAAAACAACATAGAATGCCGATCTGAACTGATTCAGATTAAATCAAGAGGAAAGCAACTTGTCGACATGACATAGCTTTCAGTGTATGCTGATAGAACTTATCAATTAAAAAGAAGCTGAAAGTAGATCGACTGAAGAATCACGAATTCTTAGTTGAGAATCAGATTTATGATGAAATTACGAAATTAGACAGCCACATATATGATATTTTGTTTATCTTCAATGCTGATTTTGAGTGCATTAATGTGTAAATAAGAGAAAAATCAAAACTGAGTTGATATTATGCTCAAACCTGGACCCAGAAATTTAAATACTTGTATTCGATGATTACCGCAATCAGTAACCCAGAGATTTTTCTGTTGATCGAATGCTAAACCGTGAATTTGATCTAATTGATCTGCTCGATTGCCTTTCCCATTTCCTCCGACAATAACATGACCCTTTTGCGATCCGTTTGGCCAACATACAACTCGATAATTGTCTCGATCAGCTACATAAACATTACGTAAACGATCAACTACAATACCGTGCGGCCTGTTCAGTTGCTTCTCGGTATTTCCTCGTCCATTCCCACCGGCAACAATCATTCCTTCAGTTGCATCTTTCTCCCATTTCATTACACGATCATTATTCGAATCGGAGACATATACAGACAAGTCTTCATCAACAAATATATAACTAGGATAATTAAGTTGATTCAAAGCACAACCCATTCCATGGCCACCAGCCACAACCACTCCATCCGCATCGCCTCGTTTCCATCGCTTCACTTCATGATTAACTGTATCTGATGCGTATAGATTTCCATGAATATCCATGGTTAAGCCTATACCACTTATATTTGATACAATCGTTTTCATTAAACTATTCTGACGATCCCATTGTACGATTCGACTATGTCCTCGATCACAAATAATCAGTGAATCATTTCGTTCGTCAACAATGACTGACGATGGGGACACTAATAAATTCACTCTACTTCTATTTTCCTGAGCAGCAACTGACGCTGCACATATTAATGAATCGAATTCGTCTTCATTCTCATTCCCACCAGCAATGATATACCCAGTACTTTCACCGTATTTCCATCGAACAATACGATCATTTAATGTATCAGAGATATACATCGTTTGATCGCTGGGATTGAAGTAAACATCAAAAGGACGATTAAGTTGATTCAATTGTTTTCCATTTCCATTTCCTCCAGCAATGATTAAACCATTTTGTTCCCATTTTGCACTGAGTGGAATTGCTTTTGTTGAGAATAATCGTTCTAAAATATTTCAAAAAGTCTCATTTTCGAAAATGACCTCGGGACAAATTTACCGTATGGTAGAGTAAGTGATATATGGTCAACGAATAATCGTGAATGCCGCTGAATGGTAGGAACCGATGGAGTTCGAAGTTGTTTTCGTAATATTTCCAGCTGTTCTCTTAGTTTTCGTAGATGTTGTTCGTGAAAATTCCGAGTTTCTCGAAACGACTTCAATTGAAAAGTTATTTCAGTGAAATTCGACTTTATTTCATTGAAACCTTCTTCTCGGTATCGGTTTAAACTCTGTCTGCAATAATTTGCACATTCTTGAATAAGTCTGATTGAATTGTCTTCCCATTGGTCAATCGATTGTATCGCACGATCTTCTTCTTCTCTATTTTGGGTAGATTCATAGAATTTTTCTTCAAAGTCATCACAATCTGATTTGATCGGATCCAATTGGACGTCTAGTTCTTCTCGATGCCTCAAAAAATGATTTAAACAAAAGATTTCCGAACACCCAAGACATTTACTCGTCGATGCATTGCTGCATTTGCTACAATAAACTTCAGTCAGCATTGAAAACGTCTATGAATACTAAAATGATATAAGAAGTGATGCAATCTCATTGAATTATTTATATCTTTCTCACTCATCTTTCGTTCTTTAATCAATCAATCGCATTGACGCATTAAAAACAAAAATGATGAAAAGATATAGCATACTTTTAGATAAACTGTGCTCGTCGGAGAAGAAATACGAAGGTAAATAATCAAGTGGCGAAAAAATATCGACAGCTAATGTCACTATTCGTCATAAAATAGAAATTACGCATAATATGGCTCTTATCTTGTCATGAAATCGATTGAGCAAAACAAATACTTACTTTACGGACTTATTAGTGTTATTTGAACATGCAAAATTAATTTAATGAGACACAAACAGATAGCTTTATTTATTAAAAGAAAACTTAGATTAACAAGTGATCACCATAAGTAGTTCTGTTACAACCAAGGCGTATCATTGATAGCATCTATCTCTGGATCTATCGCGCCAAGTAACGTTTTTGCTATATAATCACCTTTGGAAAACGGGTAGTTCGGACCGTTTTTCTTCCATACTTTCTCCCTTTCGGTGAAAAAATCATCAGTCACATCAACGTTAGCCATTCTTTCATCAAAATCAACTAAATATGCGACACATGCAGGATCGTCTGTACATATCAGAAACATCACATGCGTTGTTTCAGCATTGCGTACTCGAGTCATCACTTCATCCAGTTTATCAATATTAACGTTACCCCTGGCATCAGTCGGCGTTCCATCTGTGGCAATGAACACGAGGACCTTCTTGTCTCTTCCACGCTGAGCTTCTGGCGATGAAAAGATTCGTGTGAGAACTGGAACTAAGGGCGTGTAGCCACGAGGTGGTATAGAAAACTGTTCATCAATGACTGTTGGATCAGTCACACGGAGTATTGGTGGACGATTGAGAAAATGAATATCAACACCATTTGAGTCGAAAATCACGGTAATTTCCAGGATGACTTTGACGATTTCGCGAAGTCCATCCCATCGTGTTTTGCCTGTGTGATCAACAGGTGTTCGCATTGAACCTGAATCATCACAGACGACGGTGATCTTGTAATCTTGAAGTAGAGGAAGTTTCTGGCTGAATTGCTCTTTAATTTCATACTTATCAGCAATATGACGAAGAGCATCCTCGACTAAAAGGAGATTTGTATGAAATAAATTCAAAGGTGGAAATGATCATACATTGTTGTCTCTGTTGATATGAAAAACATTCTGAAGAATTGGTTGCATACATCGGAATACCTTCAGAAAAAAGTGTTCAATATAAAATTTGGAGGAACTATGAGTTACCTGCTTCCATGGTAGGTGGTTGAATTTTCTCTAGTGGCAAATCACTGTTATCCAGTCGTTCAAAGGGACTCCAACGACCGGATGATTGATGAGAATGTTTTATTGGCTTATACATTTATTTTCGTTCGCGTTATGAAGTGATACGAAATATTTTGAAATGATGAGAAGAAAGACTAAACCTACCTTGAAAAAATTTTGCTCTTTTTCATTTCCTTTCTCTCATCTAAATTATCGATTCGCCATACCATTTTCTCCACGTGCATCAACATGAAATTAATAAGCAATTATATGATGCACTAGAGCACAACATAATCGAGAGGCGCAGAAGTTATAATTCGAGTATTTATATGAGAATATCGAGTGATAGAATGAAAAGAAACCCAAAACGAAAAATATTCACAGTGAGATATGACCAGTAGTTCATATAAATCTAGACATTTATTTACAGTTTTATTATTTTAAGCAACAACAGTCATCATTACGAATAAGAGTATAGTATGCAAAACATCGAACATGACCGTCTAATGCAGTAAAACTAAGGCGTATCATTGATAGCATCTATCTCTGGATCTATCGCACCAAGTAACGTTTTCGCTATATATTCACCTCTGGAAAACGGATAGGCCGGACCGTTCTTCTTCCATACTTTCTCCCTTTCGGTGAAAAAATCATCAGTCACATCAACGTTAGCCATTCTTTTATCAAAACCAACTAAATATTCGACACAGGCAGGATCATCTGTACATATCAGAAACATAACATGGGTTGTCTCAGCATTGCGTACTCGAGTCATCACGTCCTCCAGTTGATCAATGTTGACATTACCTTTGTTATCAGTGGGTGTTCCATCGGTTGCAACGAACACGAGGAACTTCTTGTCTCTTCCACGCTGAGCTTCTGGTGATGAAAAGATTCGTGTGAGAACAGGAACTAAGGGCGTGAAGCCACGAGGTGGTATAGAAAACTGTTCATCAATTAGTGTTGGATCTGTGACGTGAAGCATTGGTGAACGATTGAGAAAATGAATATCGACACCATTTGAGTCAAAAATCACGGCGATTTCCAGGATGGTTTTGACTATTTTACAAAGTTCATCCCATCGTGTTTCATTTGTGTGCTCAACAGGTGTTTTCATTGAACCCGAATCATCACAGACGATAATGATTTTGTAATGTTCAAGTAGAGGAAGCTTCTGGCTGAATTGTTCTCTAATTTCATATTTATCGGCAATATGACGAAGAGCAACGTCGACTAAAAGAAGATTTGTGTGAAAAAAATTCAAAGGTGGAAATGATCATACATCGTCGTTCTGGTTGGTATTGATTACTCTCAGGCAGAGAATTATAAGAATTGAAGAGATCATGTCGTATTATTTCTTGATACAAACAAGGTAAATTCAATAGAACTTCAAGAAAATATATCTACCTGATCGTTGTCCACCTTCTCTTGAGCAAGATGGAATTTCTAGTTCTTCAACTGATTGAACAATACTGTCATCGAACCCGTTCAAATTATTGAATATATCGATGGTGGTTCTCTGGTTATTTATTTCTTGGGACTGCATATATGCCGAAGAGGAAGCTATTTGTATTCGCCTATACGTTACTCTCTCAATGGAATACTTAAGACACACTCATATCATTTATAGGGAGAAACTTCGTTAATCACTTCCTTTTTCTAATTCTAGAAGTCCGATAATGTTATTTTTATTGCCGCTGTCTTTTTCATCAATGAATGGTGTAGCAAACGCTGAAATAAATTGTCAACCTTACCCTTGTCATTAAAAATCAATTGAATAGACATTTTCCTTGATTGCATCTAATTAAAAAAACGTTCAAAAATGTGCTCCAAAAAGAAATAATGAGGAAAAATTTGCTTTCAAACTGACGTCAACCAGTTGTTTGTGGCAAAATGTTTCGTTAAAATTGAATTTGATACTGATGTATGTGGAACAATTTCTTCTCTATATGAATGTTAATTAATTACGTCATAGAAATATTCATACCGAAAACAAATCATAAATATGGTTAGTTAACTTAACAAGAATACAGATTCGAAGTTGAAATTGAATATGCCGAAGATGTTAGTCAATTCACATTGACCAAGTACTTGACATCAATTGAAAAAGGATTTCTTTCTTTTCGTAGAGCAATGGAATTACGTGTTGGCGGGAAGTATCGCGTTGGACGAAAGATAGGTTCGGGATCATTCGGAGATATCTATCTCGGCACAAATATCAATTCGGATGAAGAAGTCGCGATTAAACTCGAATATGTTCGTACCAAACATCCACAATTGCATATTGAATCAAAAATCTATCGTATAATGCAAAATGGAGTAGGAGTTCCATCGGTAAAATGGTTTGGAGTCGAAGGAGATTTTAATGTTCTGATTATGGATCTACTCGGACCGTCATTAGAAGATCTATTCGTGTTCTGTCAAAGAAAATTCTCTTTAAAAACTGTTCTCATGTTAGCTGAACAAATGGTTTGAAAAACATTTCATCTTCATATTCAATTTTATACTCTCGAATTGTTTAGATCAACCGAGTGGATTTCATACATTCAAAAAATTTCATCCATCGAGATTTAAAACCCGGTAAAACTTCATCCGATCTCTGATTGCATAGATGTCACGTTTTTTAGATAATTTCTTGATGGGTCTCGGTCGAAAAACGAATTATGTTTATATCATCGACTTCGGTTTAGCAAAGAGATATCGAGATACTCGTACACATCAACATATTCCTTATCGAGAAGATAAGAATTTAACAGGTACTGCACGTTATGCTTCAATCAATACACATCTCGGTATCGAACAAAGTCGTCGTGATGATCTGGAATCGCTTGGTTATGTGTGGATGTATTTCAATCGCGGTAGTCTTCCGGTATGCATTGACGAATTGACAAATGTTACTTTGACAGTTCGATTGACATTTTAGTGGCAAGGTTTGAAATCTGTCAGTAAACGTCAAAAATACGAACGAATCAGTGAGAAGAAGATGTCTACATCACCTGCCGAACTATGTAAAGGTTTTCCAGGTAAGAATGATTTTTCTGTTTTACTAATGAAATTTCACTGATTCTCTTCTTTTCAGCGGAGTTCTCGTCGTATCTTACCTACTGTCGTTCATTACGTTTTGATGATAAACCTGATTACTCGTATGTATTCTGTTTTGCTTTGTGATACTCAAATTTGATTGAATTTTTAGACATTTACGAGAATTATTTCGTAATTTATTCCATCGACATGGCTACACTTACGATTATCTCTTCGATTGGACCATGCTCAAACCTCGTTAGATTTCCTATCGATCTTTTCATATCACATCTTTTGCTTTCTTCTTTTGTTCTTCTCTTTCATTTCGTTCTGATATCATCTGTATATAATTGTTTATATGTTAGGTTCATTTTGTCAGTCGGATAAAAGAAAGTTCGGGTTCGCACACGAACTTTCAGTTGGGACCGGTGACAGTTTCAATCGAAACTGTGGTAATGAAGATTCGACAAAGAAACTTGATCAAAACTCGTCATATTTGGTGCACAACAACAGATAAATCGAAACGGCCTAGGTGAATTTATTACAAAATGCAAGAACGAAATTTGCCTATTTTTTTTTCTCTCCCTCTCTCGCTCCACATGTTTGTTTTTCTTTTTGCTAAAATAAATTTCAATGATTGAAAGTGATCTAATTATAAAACAGTGCATTCTCCTACTGATGCTAATGAATATTTTCGGTTTGATTGCCCTCGTGATAGTATCAAATGAGACGCGAAAGCAAAATAAAAATTTGTCTGCTATACTTACACTTAATGGGCATATAATTAAGCGAAAAGAAATACTGAGTGACATAGTGCATGGGTAAAAATCAGATGTCGCTTATTAATTTAGAAGCGAAGTGAACGATTGAATGATAAATATAAATGAGGTATGATAATGTTTTCGAAATATGATCGTTTGAATTTTCTTTGTGCAGGTAGAGTTGAATACCGTGAATGTGGGGTTGACGAAAACCGTTGCGAATAAACCAATTGGAAGAAATTGGCGTGTAAAAGAACACTATTTGTTTGAAAATGAGAAAATCTCACGGAATTTTTATCATAAATCTCGTTTCTTTTCTTTCGTAAAATTCTTTGCTGTTTATTGTCGAGTCAAGTTGTTCAAATATGGTAATGGTAACTTACTTTACAAATGCAATGACTTATTCGATCGACTCGACTTTCTTATGATCTGTAGCAGCAGACGAAGGTGTGTGGTCAATGATTTTAATCGTGATAGTCATCCGGATGTTGTTATCGGTAACTCAGGCACTGATAGTATCAATGTCTTTCTTGGAATTGAAAAGTTCTCGTTTACGAACCAAACAACCTACTCGACGGGTCCAGTATCATCTCCATACTCAGTTACTATCGATTATTTCAACAACGGCCGAAAGCTTGATATTATTGTTGTCAATTACAACGACAACAATTTTGGCTTACTTTTAGGTCATGACAATGAAATTTTTGATAATGTTATGCTTGAAGTATTAGAGTATGGTTCTCACCTGTTTTTTTTTATTGTCTTGGCTGATTACAGTAACAACGGTAAAATGGACTTTTATATTGCAAAGAAGGGAATTGATAGTTTGACTATTTATTTACAAACATCTTAACTACATTTATATTTTGACGAAAGATTTTCGATTTCTTTTGGTTTTCTATGCATTGTTGTATTTGAATGTATAGATATATCGCTGTTCTAACTAGCTGCTTCTTCTGCTCAACTAAAAGGTTTTTATTATCCTCGATGGCAGTCAGAGAGCAGGATTGACAATCGACAAATTCAAAAGTAGTACTAAAAATCTTTTTCTAAATCATTTAAACACATGCAAAAACGCGCTCTACATCGTACTGGACAACTGATTCGAGTTCAAACGATCAGAATCGGAAATAGTATTGATCAGTTCTTGAAGTTTCAAAGAATCCGTTCAAAGAACTTGCGAAACTGATCGCAGCAAGACATGTTTGACATTCATATCGTTTTTCCGAAAAGTCTCTTTCCAAACAAATATCACAAAAAATGCCGATGTTCTTGTAAACCCAATGCGCGTATGACGAACCAGTGAATGGTTCGCTGGATGATTTTTATAATGACCCTTTTGCACACAGTGACAACAGAAAATATAGTTCCCACAGTTCTTACATTTTTAGTGCAATTCACCATCTCCATTGACAATGTCAACTAAGTATATTCATTTTTATACATACTCAATGTTTACAGGGAAAGAAACCAACAATGTGGTGGAAGTCAATTAGGTATGACATCACCACATCCGTTCCTATTACATATGCCATAGATGCATAATAAGAAATTAATTAAAGTACAAACTTGGTCAAAAGGTCTCCAGGAAACATCATGAAAAGTCGTCTATTGCATGGCGTGCTTCAATAATATACTCAACAATGATTTACTTTTGGTTTCTCCATAAGAATAAGACAAGGAAGAAAAGAATAATCGAATTTATTTATTCAGAACTCGTCTCAGTTCTGAACCATATTCACCGTTAGTCAAAGATTCACATAATCTATTAAATTGTTCCCTATCGATATATTTCATCATAAAAGCAACTAATTCAATCGAGCCGATTGAGATATGTCTTTGATTTTCAATTGAACGAATGCAATTCGACGCATCATTCAACGATTGAAATGTTCCCATATCAAACCAAACTGTGTCTTTATTTAACAAATGAACGCGAAGTTTATTCTTCTCCAAATAAACCCGATTGACATCAGTGATTTCATATTCACCTCGATGTGAAGGTCGTAGACTTTTCGCGATTTGAACAACATCATTATCATAAAAATACAAACCTGTAATGGCATAATTCGATTTCGGTTCTGACGGTTTTTCTTCGATTGAAACCGGTCGATGATCGTCATTAAGTTCAACAATTCCATAACGATGTGGATCAGACACTTCATAAGCAAAAATCTGCGCTCCATCGACATTCGTTAATGTTCGTAATTGATGCAAAAGATCTTCGTGATAAAATAAATTATCACCGAGAATCAATGCAACATTTTCATTGCCTAAAAAGTCTTCGGCGAGAACAAATGCTTGTGCAATTCCATTTGGTTGATTTTGAATCTGATACTTCAAACAACAACCAAATTGATTTCCATCTTTTAATAAGTTTCGATATAATTCATAATCTTCTTCTTTGATTATAATCATTATGTCTCGAATTCCAATCGCCATAAGAATCGATATTGGGTAGTAAATCATTGGTTTGTTATAAACCGGTAAAAGATGTTTTGAAAGGACTTTTGTTAAGGGATATAAACGTGTACCTAAACCGCCGGCAAGGACTATTCCTTTCATACCGACGGAGCGAAGTTTCAAGTAAGAACGATGTCACATATGTTGTTTTGTTTTCTATTCTTCGTTTATTTATTGGCGAATGAAAGTGTCCAACCGAAAGGAACGAGAAAAAGTATATTCGGTTTAATATGGACAAAACTATTTTGATAACGGGTGGTGCCGGATTTATCGGATCACATGTCGTTCGATTATTTGTGACTAAATATCCGCATTATCGGATAATTAATTTCGATGCATTGACTTATGCTGGAAATCTCGCAAATCTTCGAGATATTCAAGAAAAACCGAATTATGTGTTTATTCAAGGTGATTTAAACAATATTAAGGATATTGAGAACGTGTTTGACCAGTATCCAATCGATGGAATTATCCACTTAGCTGCCGAAAGTCATGTCGATCGATCTATTGATGATCCGCATTCTTTTCTACAAACTAATATTCTTGGAACGGCATACTTATTAGACATGACAAGAAAATATTGGAAAGATAATTTGGAAAATAAACGTTTTTATCATATCTCAACTGATGAAGTTTATGGATCATTAGGAGACGTTGGTTTATTCTCGGAAACGAGTCCATATAATCCTCAATCACCGTATTCAGCATCGAAAGCTGCATCGGATCATCTCGTTCGATCATATGGAAATACATACGGAGTTCCATATTTGATAAGCAATTGTTCGAATAATTACGGGCCAAATCAACATCCTGAGAAATTAATTCCATTGATGATTAAAAAGATTCTCAAGGAGGAGAATTTACCGATTTATGGTGATGGAAAGTACACACGTGATTGGTTGTATGTCGTCGATCACGCTCAAGCGATTGATTTGGTATTTCATCAAGGTCGAATTGGTCAATCGTATAATATCGGTGGACAAAATGAATATCAGAATATTGATTTAGTGAAATTATTATGTCAACTAATGGATGAAAAATTACATCGAAATGTTGGCAGTTCGGAAAAGTTAATACAATATGTCCGAGATCGACCGGGACATGATCGAAGATATGCTTTGGATATAACAAAAATTACCAATGAACTTCAATGGAAACCTTCGGTTACATTTGAAGAAGGTCTAAATCGAACGATTGATTGGTATCTACAAAATCAAATATGGTTGAATCATGTCGAACTGTTGATTTGAATAAAATTTTCAAAACAGTCAAAGTTATACTTTTGTTCGCATGTCGAAAAAATAGAAAAACGTATAAAATCAAAGTTTTCAAGGATATTATTAGCACAATTAGTTGCGGAGAAAAACTAAATGAAATATATATATTAAAAAGATAATATTGACAATTTACAAGTGCATCTGTTTTCTCAAAAGTCATTGAATTACCTTAAAAGTATGTGAAAATGTTAGTACAATGAATATATACGTTTGTATTCTTAATGAATAAACTCGATGAAACGTCTTGACGAAATCCAACTGAATTTCAATGGTGTAGTGTTAACAATCTGAAACGGAGTTGCTTAAAATCCGTGAACAGATGAAATTTATATTGAATAAACTTTTTCACAGGAACATCGTTTCAGATATTTTGTTTTTCTTATCTAAACCTGTTGATTATAACGGCGGAAGTGCAGCTTAATGCAAATGACCTATTTCAGCCAGAAAAGCTATTGACTTACTCAAAGGATAAGAGAAATATCTCGAAACACGCATTTCTTCAATCCAATGATAATGAAGCTGAAAAGTTTTCTGATATGGTTTTACAAAAAAGTGATTAATTACAATCTTTTCATGTTAGAAGAAAATGACTATGATGAGATTGTTCATGATCCAATTGTAACTCTCAGGCATCAAAAATACAAAACTTGGTTATATATCGTTCTGCTTGCAGGTAAATATTATACAGAAGTTGTAAAGATTCTTCTCAAAACGTCTAAACAGTTTGATTGTGTGTTGTGATGAATTTTGTCTTTTAAACGAAAGAACTGTTTCGTTTTAGTGTGTCTCTACATCTTGTTTTATATAAATTTGGTGAAAATTCAATCGACAACAGTCAGTGTGTCGAACATAACGCTTCAATATTTCGAACAACTTTATGTTGAACATCATGAAACTCTGTCATGTCCATGTTCAACAATAAGAATACCGTATCGAAACATTACTTCGAACAATGTGACGATGCATTCGATATGTTCGAGTATATTCATTGATCCAAAGTGGACGGAAGCATTGTATTTTGCGAATGCAAGTCAATTTGGTGTTTGGGATTTTCGAACAACAGCATATTCTCAAGTAAATTAGAAGACTTTTTTTTAACTTACATTTTGCTTAATTTTCAACGTGTCGAATTTTAGTTTGAATTATTATCGAGTTTTTGTTCGCTTTCAAATGAAATTATTTCTCAAACTCTCAGTGACATTGGCAACAATGAAGTTGTAACTCTTTATCTTTCTACTCAAACGCAAATCCGAGTTGATATTAATAAAAGAATTGAAAATCTAAAGAATAGTGCAACGTCTCGCATGATGACATTTCTCAATTATTTACAAAATACGAATAACAAACACTTTTTTGTTTCGGCTCTCAATACAAACTTCATAATTTTAACATTCGGCGATCTTAATCATACTTCTCTTTTTGGATTAGAAGTATCTTATTTGATTAACTACACACCGGGTGAGAAATGCAGCGAAACTGTAGTAATAATGAACGCCACTCTCAATCGACTGCTTCCTGAATTAATGGACGAAGGAATTCGATCAAAAATGGTGCTTTTACCTAATTCGACCATTGTCAATGGTTTTTTCACAGCATGTACTCCTGTTGAAGCACTTCTTCAAAGCACATTAGATTGTCTATACGAAATACATTGCCTTCAATTATTGTTCAGCTATTTTCCAAAGCTAACACAGGTTTGTCTTCAATATAGATCCATGTTCTGCGTTGTATGTGTTTCTCTATTCTGTTTAGATTAATTTCAATCCATATAATTCATCTTTATCTTCAGAAGATCGAACTAGTAGATCTGTTTATGAATATTTGAATGATCTTTTCGTTCGAAATTGGTCAACAGAAATCGATTATGAAAAATATTATCTCGAATGTTCTCCATCAATGTGTATATATTCGACAATCGAAAGAACAGAAACCATTCATGCATTGACAATTTTCATTAGTCTTTATGGTGGATTAGTCATTATCTTTCGTATTGTCTCTTCTTTATCTATTGATATCCTCGTGAAATGGAAATGTTGCTCGAAAAGCACACACCGTAATTCAACAGGTATAGATTTCGATGTGATATTCATACACTATGGTTGGATTTGTAGTCGAACAAAAAAATAGTGTCTCGAGACTTGTCCAAGCAATAAAAATATTCAATTTATTCAAGCAGATCAATGACCGAACGGAAGAGAGTATCAAATTGCAGAGAATCATCACACGTGTTTATGTGATTTTACTTATCGGTAAGCTTTGGAATTCATTCGAAAAGAAAATCTTTATCATTTATAGTTTCCATCTGTATACTCTGTCTATTGACATCATTGCACAGTGAAACACGAACAGTAGCCATTACGAATTCGTCAATGGCAGTCTATCAATCACTGGAAGATTTATATGCGAGTACGCTTCGCTGTCCATGTGTAAAACAATCAATTCCTTATGGACAATTTCTCTCGTTATCTCCTCGTTTTCATCAAATATGTTCGAGTGGCTTCGTTCATCCGAATTGGATTAGGGTGTTGGCGGATGATTCGAATGCACTCCATGGTAGTGCGCGGAGTCATCGCGTATATTTGCAATTCCAGTTCCTGTCCGATTTGTGTCACTTGGCACGTACGACGATTGCTGATGCGATTATTCGTTATCTTTCTCAAATGTTTGTGGTTTCTTCTGTAATGAACGAAACCGAATTTTACAAACAAGTTAATGCAAGTTTCAATCAATTTCGTCAATCAACAGTTTATAATTTTGGCTTAATGTCGGATGTTTTACAACTATTAATGCAAATTGATCAGTTGTATCTGAAATCAATTGAAATACTCGATGACTTTTCTCATAATGTCAATCTAATCAACAGTGTAATAACTAATGATTCGAATTTCATTCAACTGAGAAATGTAAGTTAATATTCTGCAGAAAATGTCTTTCTTTTGACGTATCAAGAACTGCGTCTATATGTTCTTCGAATTTCTTAATATTTAGTTTCAATATCAATTAAATGGAATTCGAAATATCAGATCAAAGCAGATGACATGTGTTTGTGCTACAACTGCGCATTGTGAAACACCTATCGGCGTATATGAAGATGTTTTCAACAGTACGACTAACTCAAATACGGTTCTGTTTCATTCAATACCGGGTTGGGTTCAACGATGTTTAGCTATTGATTCTCTTCGTTTTTCGTCACTGGAATGCTTGTATGAAGACTCCGATTGTTTCTTTTTCTTTTTGGATACTCTACAGATTACCACTGTACACGAACCATTGTTGTTCGATTTCAAACCGTTGATTTATGAACCGTCAATGACTCGATATTCTCGAAATGCCACTGTTTCCGATCTATTCAAGCAAATAATGATCGAACAATGGAGTTCATCGACAATATATGAAGCATTTTTTGAATTCTGCGCACCGACGCATTGTACATATTCTCAAAAGATACGAACGCAGAATTTTCTCGGAGTGATGGTTAAGTTAATATCAATGATTGGTAGTATTATGTTTTCTTTGCGAATTATTACTCCTCAACTTGTTAAACTCATTCTTCGATTGATTGTAAGGTGTAAAAACAACAAAAAACAACAAAGATCACAAAGTAAATCAGATATTCATATGAGATGTCTTCCAGCAGTTATTCGATGTGTAAAACTTCATCTGAGAACAGATTTTCCGAGTTGATTTTCTTTTTAGGTCTTGGGACTTTTGTTAATCGATTAAAAATGACAATAAGAAAATTATTAAAGTTCTTAGCAATGAAATTACTTCAGCTCAATATGTATTCATCGCGTGATTTCGGAAGTGATATTGATCGAGAAACAGTCAGATGCTATAGTCGATGGGCAACGCGTCTTCATTTTTTCTTGTATCTCGCCAGTTGTGCAATTCTAATCTTCTATATGATTATTCGAACGCATAACCTAACCAAAACACTTGATCAACCAACGTTTGCTTCTTATGAACGTTTACAACAACTGTATGGTAATAAATTAAAGTGTTCATGTTCTCAAATAGCATCACCGTATAGTGCATACGTTGAAATTCAACCAGTCTTTCACCCGGTACGATAAGATTTGATGTTTTCAGTGTGAAACTTACTTTATGATGATGTTCATATGCATAAGGCATGGCAATTTTGTTTGTTTTTATATATAGATCTGTTCAAGTACATTTGTATCGAATGAATGGCGAGATAATCTCACAAATGACTTTGCCGCTAATTTGTCTATCTATGCACAAAATGATTATCGTCGATTTCTTTCTGCTCACATTCAATATCTTCAAGGTTTATGTCATTTGTCTCAACAAACTGTTCACAATGCTATTAATGAGTTACTCATATCATTATTAGTCACGGTTGAACTTCTCTCTAACGAAGAATTTCACCATCGTGTTGACACGTTAATTAAACAAAGTGAAACCAATGCACCAATTCTATTTTCTCGTTTTCTTTTCATGATTCGAACAGTGAATCATGGAAATGCTTTTATGACAACATATGGAACAAATTTCCGATATCTCGCTTTGTTAAACTCTCCTAGTTGGAGTTATGCGTACACTGAAGCAATGATTTATGATGATAATTGCTCGTGTGGATTGTTCTCAAATTGCACAACTCAAGCAACTTTCATAGAGTCGTCGAAGGTAATTCCAGTTCAAGGATTGAAAATAGGATGTTTACCAAGCGAATCGTTTCGTTTATCAACTCTCGAATGTTTTTATAATCAATCATGCCTCGACCTGCTTCATCAATTTACAAATTCTCAAAATTTGTCGATTCCTCTTTCGACAGCATCCAGTCGTTTCTCACTCAATACGACAATCAATCAATTGATGAGCTGCTCTTTCACTGAACAATGGTCAACAAACAAAACTTATTCATCCTATTATCATCAATGTTCACCTTCATCATGCTCTGTCACTTAGGGGTGCAACGGTAACGGTAATTCACCGTTTAACCGTAGACGGTTAACCGGTGTAAAACAATAACCGGGTCTGGTGAAAATGAGGTGTAACGATAACCGGGCCTGNGTTTCAAGTAAGAACGATGTCACATATGTTGTTTTGTTTTCTATTCTTCGTTTATTTATTGGCGAATGAAAGTGTCCAACCGAAAGGAACGAGAAAAAGTATATTCGGTTTAATATGGACAAAACTATTTTGATAACGGGTGGTGCCGGATTTATCGGATCACATGTCGTTCGATTATTTGTGACTAAATATCCGCATTATCGGATAATTAATTTCGATGCGTTGACTTATGCTGGAAATCTCGCAAATCTTCGAGATATTCAAGAAAAACCGAATTATGTGTTTATTCAAGGTGATTTAAACAATATCAAGGATATTGAGAATGTATTTGACCAGTATCCAATCGATGGAATTATCCATTTAGCTGCTGAAAGTCACGTCGATCGATCTATTGATGATCCGCATTCTTTTCTACAAACTAATATTCTTGGAACTGCGTACTTATTAGATATGGCAAGAAAATATTGGAAAGATAATTTGGACAATAAACGTTTTTATCATATCTCAACTGATGAAGTTTATGGATCATTAGGAGACGTTGGTTTATTCTCGGAAACGAGTCCGTATAATCCTCAATCACCGTATTCAGCATCGAAAGCTGCATCGGATCATCTCGTTCGATCGTACGGAAATACATACCGAGTTCCGTATTTGATAAGCAATTGTTCGAATAACTACGGGCCAAATCAACATCCTGAAAAATTAATTCCATTGATGATTAAAAAGATTCTCAAGGAGGAGAATTTACCGATTTATGGTGATGGAAAATACACGCGAGATTGGTTGTATGTCGTCGATCACGCTCAGGCGATTGATTTGGTGTTTCACCAAGGTCGAATTGGTCAATCGTATAATATCGGTGGACAAAATGAATATCAGAATATCGATTTAGTGAAACTACTATGTCAACTAATGGATGAAAAATTACATCGAAATGTTGGCAGTTCGGAAAACTTAATTCAATATGTCCGAGATCGACCGGGACATGATCGAAGATATGCATTGGACATAACAAAAATAGCCAATGAACTTCAATGGAAACCTTCGGTTACATTTGAAGAAGGTCTAAATCAAACGATCGATTGGTATCTACAAAATCAAACATGGTTGAATCATGTCGATCTGTTGATTTGAATAAAATTTTCAAAACAGTCAAAGTTATACTTTTGTTCGCATGTCGGAAAAATAAAGGAGATCTTAAAGTGAGATATCCAATCATGAGGAACAGGATTTCGTACAAAAAGAACGTTTGCATACGGTTACCTTAGAAACATATGATATTCGAAATCACCGAGCGTTTTTTCATTTAATGGTACAGAACAAGAGAAAAGTAAAAATTGACTTTTTGTGTTGTCAGAAGAAATATTTGTTCTTCAATTATGACAGAACTTTCATCACAGAAGGTTGAAAAGTAAAACGAAATAGAATTTTTGACGGAAAGTTCATACGGTTTTCTTTAGTTCGAATAATCAAGATCTCGACGATGACGACGACGAATTCAATTCTTCGAATAAAATTACTCCAAATGATCACCAGTCGATTTCTGACTGCAGTAACTCATCATCAATATCAGTCTGTTCTTGAAAATGTCTCATGATTCTGCTCTTTATAATAATTTTCTTTTCTTCTATAGGCAACGAAAGATGATTTCAATGTCGAAAATTTAATCCAATCCGATTTGTGCGCATTTGTTCACACATTAACACCGAAAGATTATCCTCAATTGATTCAATGTCATCTGAAACGGCATAAAGATGGTCTAAACAAAAGTTTTTCTTTGTATTTCACTGGACAAGATCCAGATGACGAACCATTGCTCTTAACTGCACGAAAACATACCACACTGAGCGGCCATACAGAATTTCTCATCGGAATAAATATCGACACTCCAGCAAAGAATCTCAATGAAGAAAATTCCATTGCAAAACTACGATCGACGAAAATATTTGGACATGAATATATTCTATATGATTATGACAAACCTTCCACTAATGAACCAAATAAACCTCAGTCACTTGCAGTTGTTTACGTAAGCGAGTGTTTCTTCATAGGACTATAAAATCTATCGCTATAGTAGTCTATGATAATCAAATCTGATTTTAGGATGAACATATCTTTGAATCGAAAGATCCGAGAGAGATAACTGTTTTATTACACAATACTGGTGATACTATTCGAGAATTTCAAGTAAACTTGTTCGTGTTTGATTGTATTCTAGTTTTTCTTTTTCGTTTATAGAATAACGAAACAATTATCGACGAGTGGCGAGCTGGACGTTCGAATAGTTTACTTGAATTTAAGAATAAATATCCGAAATTTAATGAAGGTTAATCCAAAATCGTTTTTCTCTTCGCAAACTCGTCCTCGTTTTGTTGTTTAAATTAGAATCGAAGATCTACACTATAGGTTTTCTTAATAACCGTGTTAAACAGCCATCACATAAAAATTTTCAAATAATCTCATCCAATGAACAAGGTAATTTGATTATTGAACTCAATGACATGTTCTTTCTCTGTCAATCATAGGCAAAGAAATCGTCATATTGCAATTTGGACGCATCGATGAAAATGATTTTGTTCTAGATTTTCGGTATCCATTTACAACGATCGACGCATTTGCTATTGCATTGAGTTCTTTTCATAATCGAATTCGAAAATGAAATGTTGAATATCAATTCACTTACAAACAGTCGACAAAAACGGTGTTTTTTTGCGTTTCGAACATTTGTTTTGATAAATTTTCACTATTTTCTGAAATACAATCGATTACTTTTTTCAACCGTCAATCAAATTATAGAATTGTGTAGATGCTCCACAACACAACAAACTAGAATCGCTCATTCTAACATTATTCTTAACTTCATAAGTAATACTTTCTGACAACGTATCAACAACGATCTTTAAAATCGAAGGAGTTGTCAACACTTCCCCGCTCGTGTATCGACAATAATAGTAAGGTTTATTATCATAAGTGATTTAATATCTTGTCATACATTAAAAAACAACTTATTTAAAACATGACACATCACGGGCTGTCGACAATATCTGTAAAAGATCTTCATTTTTAAGGACTGTTTATTCTTCCAGAACTGCTATGGGATTAACATATTCAAATTTTTGGAACACTCGAGGCTTCCGGCGAGGTGCTCTACGTTTAGTTTCATTTGTTTTCTTCGCTTCGATCAATTCATTTTTTGTTACATCAATTCCAAGAAGATATTTCAAAATGTCCATGATAATGAAAAACATCACTGCACCAATTAGAAATATGATGGCAACGTAACCGAGCGATCTGGCAGCCATCTGACGGAGAACCATTTTTCCGTCGACGACTTCGCAATAACGACCTGAATAACTTGTTCCAAGACATTCACATGTATAGTTTAGAAATAACGGTCGACAAACGCCACCATTCTCACACGTGTTATTCGTGCAATAGTTAATCTTATTTTCACAATGAACATTCGTCCAACCGTATAGGCATAAACATTCGAATGTTTCGTTGGATGTCTCATTACATTGACCTAAATAGAATCAATCATTATTTCGTTCGGCACTTTCATATCAATCGTCTATTTCAATGAGGATATACCATTGTTTAAGCATATGTTTGGCTTGCATAGTCGTCGATCATTTTGACATTCTGAACCGTCAAACCCTTCTGGACATTGACAAAAATATTCATTAATAGTAGTATTGCTGTTTAAGCAACTGCCATTATTTTGACATGGATTGACTGTGTCACAAGGTCGATTAGAAATGTTACAATAAATACCAGTCCAATATTGATTAGCACATGCTGATATGATTAAAATCTCGGATGAATTCACTAGAATAAGCAAGCAGATCATAAGTTAAATAAACGTTTTTATTAATCAAATACAATTGATCATAACTGATGAAGACGATGTGGAGAGAGTTGAAGTAACACCTATGTAAGTATTCATATGTGATCAGTTGTAAAACTCAATATGAGACTAACCAGTAATATTTGTTGCAGAAGGATAAACCGTTGATGATCCTGCAAAAGAGAATATGCACAACATCTTCTTAAACAATCATTAATCAGATAAGATACCTCCTTGACTAACAACAGTTGTTGACACGGATGAAATCAAAGAACTTTGAGCTACAAATAAAAGTTGTAAAAAAGCGGCATTTAAAGATCTTATACTTTCATAGGACAAGCCAAGGCTTTTACTACATAGAGCTCTATATGATAAAAAATACTCACATTGATTCGTTATTGATATAGACGTCAACACTGGGAGCGATTGTTGTTCTGTTGAACTTGACTGACTCGAGGACGATAACTGTTCAGTTGATACCTCTTGTTGTGTTGAGGTTGCCTGTCCGTCTGATGTTGTTGTCTCCAGTGATGATGATAGTAGCTGTGTTAAAGTAAGTAGATCTGTTGAGGTTGATAACTGTATAGAAGTAGACGGATATGTCGTTGTTTGTGTCGATGTCGCCAGCTGTGTTGAAGTGGTTGGTGCATGGGTCGACGTCGGCGACTCTGTTGAAGTGGTTGGTGCTTGGGTCGATGTTGGGAGCTCTGTTGAAGTGGTTGGTGCTTGTGTTGTTGTTGGGGACTCTGTTGAAGTGGTTGGTGCATGGGTCGACGTCGGCGACTCTGTTGAAGTGGTTGGTGCATGGGTCGATGTAATGAGACATCCAACGAAACATTC